CGCCCCTTCCCCAGCTGGCTGCGGAGTGCGGCGGGGGAAGAAGGGGCTTCACCGTAAAGCGTCGACTCCGTGTAGGGGATCTGTATGGGGAGCATTTTTTACGTATATATGTATGTATAAATCGTACGTCTCTGCAAAGAAAAGCACACCCAGAACTGTGTATCCGGATAAGCACGTACATCTGTGTAGGTGTTTATCTCGAGGTGCAGAAACAGCCTGGAAAATGTTGGCTGTAACGTTTTTAAAAAAATCCTGGCCATTTTCCTCCAGAAAGCAGTGCCTTTTGGCGGAGGGCGGAAGGAAAAAGGAGCAGCTCGGTTTGCTATCAGCTATTTTCCATAACAACCTCCTCGCTAGCCAGCAATGCCAGCAATAGGAAAATCCAAGCTCTATCCCAAGGAGACCTTCACCATTAAAAGTGAAAAAGAGGGCCCTTGCAAATAAAACCTTGCCGGTAGCAGAGCCTGGAGGCAGCTCTCCTAACCCCCCCGTGTGGTCACCGTGCCAGGCACCCTCAGCTGTTTAGCAGCAAGGCTTGGGGTGCCCTAGTGCCACCACCCCAGCCAGGACCTGTTTCAGCTCCTTCCCCCACTCACGTTGTGTCCCACGTTCAATCTCTGTCCCCTGCTGACGCATGAGTCATTCTGGGAGTGGAACAGGGATGTCAAAAGCCATTTTGAAGTGTGCCCATATCCCCTGACACATAATCATGTCCAGGCAGCTATCCTGCAGCAGTGGAGCTGATCACACGAGGTGCAGACGGACAACCGAGATCTTGCAGAGTCCGTTCCTGGGCTGATCCTGCTCAGACGTAGCGGGGCTGTTTCAGTGGCAGCTGTCAAAAGCGAGCTGCATTGTAATCCCTGGGAGGGAAAAGTGACAATGAAACAATAACAGTAGCGCAGTTGTTCTCTGGATTTAGAGGTGTCCAGCAAAGGGGGAAAAAATACATCTCTCCTTTTTCATTTCACTGTGATGGATGAAGAGGTCTGAGAGGAGTCTGTGTTTTAGTTTTACATTAGCAGCTCGAGTCTTGCCTGCTTTCTGAGACACAGGATTGAACCAGAGAGCCCACGTCAGAAGATGTTCGTAGATGGTGAAAGCTGACATGAGTCAGAGAGGGACTTTTAACCATCCCTTTTAAGACTCTCTGTTAAATGTTTGGTTAACAACACTGAGGGTTACTGAACACTGGGGAGAAATGATGTTTTAATTAAATTAAAGATTCTACCTGCTTTCTATGTGAGTGTTGGAAGAACTATAAACTGTGCTAAAAACTACCCTAAGGAAATCTTCTGCTATTTCCAAAAGAAAAACAGAAAGGAAATTAAAAAAAAGAAGGTAGTACTTGTTGATTTTAAAAAATAATCTGCAGCTCATGCCACTTGGGGAAAATAATCTCAATGCCACAAACCAGGGGGAGAACTGGCAATACTACCGGTGGGTGACAGTGAGGCTTTTGGGGATTCAAGGTTTGCAGTTTTGCAGATACTCAGACCCACCGGAGCCCTTTCCTTTCCCACCGGTTTCTTTCCTCAGACGTGGAGCGTGGCTAAAAGGGAACTTACAGGGCAGCTAGACTTTGTCATCCTCTAACACCATGTCTGGCTGCTCCCACACAACAGGAATAAGTTTTCTGAATATTCCCCTGCCAAGTTATCCTGGAAGGTGACCATCACATTTTTTTCTTGTACAGAGGGAGAGACGGATCTTGACCATCGTGGGGGCTGTGCTCACCTGGCCGGTTTCAAGTCTTACATGCTAAGGTCAGCCCTGAGGACGGCCCTTCACAGCATAGTCAGCTACTCCAGCTGGCATTTTGATCACTTTTGAAACTGGTTAATGGTCCTGAATGTGGCCATGAGGTTCAGGCATTGACATCTTGGCGAGGTGCGCAGGGTAGTTTGCTTTCCCAATGTTTAGATTGCGGCAGCTCCAGCCTTGCCTGTCAAAAGGCTTTTTGGCCCTTTGCGGGCCGGAGGCTTGGCCGTGCCGTGCCAGCCAGGCTCCCTCCCCTGGAGAGCTGCTGGCCGGGGCGATGGCCAGCACCTTGCACACCCCTGGCCCCCACCACTGGGCCCTGCCCATCTGAGTCTCTGCTGCAGACTCCTGCCTCAGCTCTGCAGCTCAAGGCTTGAGACAACAGGGGGGATCACTGGGCAGCACAGGTGGGAAACTAGAAATGTCTAGTATAGACACAGCGATGCAGCTTAAACTGGGCTTTTCCTGCTCTAGTTTGTATCTCTCCAGACAGGATTTTCCCTCCTTCCAGGGAGAGCTGCCCAGCTGAGCCTTCAGCAGAAGTACATCGCTGGTGGAGCTCACCAGCGCTGCTTAGCAAAGATTTGGCTTCAGCCATCGTCCTCAGGAAACTGTCTCAATTCTTCTGCATCTGGTGACTGCTGCTTGAGGTCGTGGTCTTTCATAAATGAGCTGATGCAATGCCAGGGCTGTGGCGCAGGGCAGTGATGAGCAGAGCCATGCCATGGGCAGCACAGGCCATGAACTTCAGCACAGGGTTTCTGTAGAAATCCATGGTCTAACGTAAGGCTGTTTCCACCTTCCTTGAGAAGTCCTCCCCACAGATTCATGACCCAGCTGAGGCACTGTGCTAGTGAAAACCTCTTGCAGAGTACTTTTTGTCAGAGGGTCTCACAGTTTTTTATCAAGGTTGGGGAAAAGAGAGGCACAAACCAGCAGTGGGGTTTATCACAAGACACTATCTGTGAGCAGAGCCCATGTGAGAAAGAACGGTTGCATTCCTCTCCTGGGATGCACTAACCAGCCTGGTTTTGCTACCACAGTGTCAGGATGCAGAAAAAAAGCATCAAGGCTAAGCTAAGGACGTTTCATCAAAACATTTTCCTTCCTACTCTACCCTCAAAAAAAAAAAAAAAAAGAGAAAGTATTGCTTTTCCATTTAGCAGTATGTTTTGCAAGGAGATTTCATCTGGTGTCGACATCTTGGAAATTTTAGTGAATTTCCTCAGTTGCCCCCTCCAAAAATGTTGAAAAAGCCTCACACACAAAAAAGCTTGCTGCAAGGGCTTTGCAAGGTTTGTTTCATATTGTTTGTTTATCTTCTTTAACAGCATTCCCTGTCTCCCCCTTTTTCTTCTATTTCACAACTGGAAGTTGAAAAAAAGGAGACTCAAATAAAGAGGGAATAAGCTGAGAATTGGGGAAAGAGCTGACCCCTACCCCTTCCCCTCTGCCAAAAATAAAGGTTTGCAAAAATTCTCCTAGGATTATTTTCTGCATCTCTTGCATTGTTTTCCTGAAGAAGTATGACACAATTCCAGCTTTAGAGCTTTTTCTAGGGATAGGAGAATCATGCCCTGGGACTTTCATCCAAGGAGAAGCGTGGGGGTGGTTTTCTGTCATTTCACCAATCCTCCTTTCTTTCTCCTCCTTCCCCTCATAAAGAATCTGCTCTTCAAAGGCATTGAGCCCTCTCTGCAGAGCGGATGAACACCAGCGTGGTTCACCACTGCTGCCTGCAGTTTCAGAAGTTAATGGTCCCCCCCGTTTTGACAGGTTGACTTCTGGGCACAGTTATGTGTTGCAGAGAAATGAGGTGGGGGCCCACGGCTACAGAATGAGTTGGGACAAGACCTGGCTCAGACTACAGGAGTTCGGAGTTACTGCCTGCTTGAAAGGTGATGGCAGCTGCAGGTCTTTCAGGCTTGTCAGTCACAGGAGTTCAGATGCCAGGGGATCAGATCCCAGCTCGTGGGGTTGCCACCCTTGTTTAACGGTGCTTTCTCCCCTGGGCTCTCTTTTGAAATCTGGTGACCCTGTGTTACATTTTCACACACTCTTCCTCAGCCAGGAGAGGTAGCAAATGGCTTTCCTTTTTGAAATGGAAAGCTAAGACTCTTGTGTAGTCACCTGGCTCCAGAAACTGCAACTTGAGGAGTCTGATATCATGGCATTTACCAAAAGTGAGCTTTATGTTTACAAGAACTGGCATCATCTTGATCGGTTGCTTGTTTTCTATCATGTTTCCCCCCCTCCTTAAAACATCATCTGTTGCTTCACAAATTCAGTGGATCCCACAAACTCCTGAAGATCCCCTGCTCCATCCTCACCCTTAAAGCATGGCTAAATTCAGTATGGGTTACCTGGGCTCTTCAGTTAACAGCTGCTGTTGGGAGCTCCCAGAAGAGCAGCAGTGGCCAACCCTCCAGCTGCCTTCCCACAGCTGCCTGGGGAAGGGCCAGGGCTGAAAGAAGAACCTGGTGCTCACTTTGCCACCCCACTGCTGCTGAGTGGGAAATGTGGGGTTACAGAGAGGCGACAAGGTAGCAGAAATCACTGGTGTCTCGTTGCCAGGGTCAGAAG